ACTTAATGTTTTACATATTACTAATAACTTTCCCATATTGTATTTTTGTTGTTTTGTGCACCCACAAAACCGAAGGCAGACAGATATTTAACAGCTTAAAAAGGTTATTAGGAAGTCTTACAAGAACGTAAGCAAAAGGGCAGACTGAGTGGGTCACAGAGTTCACATCATCAGTCCAATTGAACCATTTATACTGAGCTTTTCAGGATATACACTCATGTAGGACTGGATGAGCTAAGCACCTGATTATGTCAGGTCTGAGCCGTCTTTACGTATCTTGTCCCTGTCAAAGACCCAATACTTTAAGTCCAATGTCTGAACAGAGTATAATCCCATGGAACTCCCATTGCCACCATAAATATCCCAAGGAGGGGGCAGAGCTTTCAGACACAGGAGACCTCCAGGACCCAGAAATGGAAGACGGTCAGATGTTCTACCTAAGAACATCCAGAAATAGAAACACTAACTCTGGATGTCTGAGCCAGAAAAACATCCGCACATAGAATATGGGTCAGTATGTTACAGAACCCACCCAACACCACCCTCCTACAGTCTGAACACTCTCTCTGAACTCTCTACCTATTATACGAAATGGAAAAGTGGTGATAATTCCCTCACCGTTCAATGCCCTCTGTCAGACTTCGCTTCCAAATCCTTTTCCTATAGATCAAGCAAAACACCACAAATTATGAGGGCTCGCTTACCCCTGCTGCCCAATGCAACCTGCCCGTTTGTCCTGTGGCTTTTGTTCACATCAATACGCTGCGCTGGTGTGTGCTGAAAAAAAGGATGACATGTATTTTTGTGCAAAACACCGTGCTCTGATGCGCTGCAACACATTGCAATGTTGCCACAGCTCATAAGAATTACTAACAGCTGTGATAAAATATACAGCAAGCAGTGCGATTTGAAAAACGCATTGCCGCGCTCGGTAGCACATATTTGTTATGCACATATTAATGCTACATGCTGGGGTGATTGAGCCCCAAAAGCAAAACAAGTCTTTCATTTCTAATATGAGGTTTGATTTAAACGTGCAAAATCTAGCAATGGACTATTTCTCATTCCATTTTGGTCAGTTCAGTTTACCACAAGAAGCATTTTCTTATACATGTTCAATAAGGGCAAAACTGCCTGTTGATTCTACCTGAAATCTCGTCACCTGATTATGTCCTGTACGCGGTGCCTCTACTGACTTATCAGTGAGCATGGTTTAGTTTCTCTGTGCACTATAGAACACCTTCCTCTGTTATAGGGAGGGGAGGAGTTATGTAGTCCTAAAATGATCCCTGTCCTAGCATGACAATGTTGGGCCTCCACAGATACAGTAGAGTGAATGAGCATTTCACCTTAGGACATTACTGGCAGGATTACCTGAAGACTAGTAAAATTAAATATAACATATCAATATCAAATATATTATGACTAGTATGTGAGGTCACTGAGTGCACTGTGGCTAGACACTAATTTTGGATGTTTTACATCACATACATTTTTGTTCATTTATTTGTGTGTGTGTAGCACAATTTGAATTTTAGTAAGATGAAATATATTATTCTAGGGTTTAGATACATTGCATGATAACTGGGTAATATAGGGCTGATGGCTTAATAATGGGTGACAAGGTTACTCGCAGTAATTTACATCTTCCCCCCTTAACCTCCCTAGCGGTCTGATTATGTCAGTATTTATGTGCTCAAAGCAGTACATTGTTTTCAATGGAAATGTTTTTTTTTTATTGTAGGCCTGTAATTCTTAGGAATAACTTACTGAAATCTGTCCAAACAAGAGTCTAGTAAACATCCCAGGTATGATAAAATTTGAAGCACGAAATCATAAATTTATAATAATCATAAAAAAATAATATAATAATCAATTTAACTCAATGTCATCAAACAAAAAAACACTGAAATTTGAAATATAGCGCCAAGTTCGCACATCACTGAGCTTAGTCGCAAAATCGTTTTTAGTGTCTGATGACGAATTTCCCCACGAATCATTACTCAATTCTGCAAGTGATTCTAATTTATGATCGCTGTTTTCTAGCTGGTCTAAAACTGCTTTTGACCTAAAGGGACGCTTTTTGGATGCCATGGACGTTTCGCAGTTTCCAGGCAGAAAGAACAGTAAAAATGCAGGCAGGGCACAGGACAAAGCACTAGGGACAAAATGTATGTGAAATGGTTTGATACAGTAATGTAATACTATCAGATTTTAGTGTATTGAATGAATGTCATATTTTTACATTTTTTGAAATTCTCGCCAGTTCCGTCCACTTTAAGTCCCGACGCTTGCAGGGAACAGAACCCAGAAGACGGATGCTGGCATCGGCTGGAGGACATGGCTGGGGACGCTGCAGGGGTAGCATTGCGGAACCGAAGGACAAGGTAAGTGCTGGAGGGATCCCAGAGCAACGCTGCAGTGTATTCCTGAGTGTGGCTCGGGGTTACCGTTTCTGGTACTGAAAGTTAACCCCGAGTACTGCCAAGGGGGTAAAGAAGGATATCTTCCTATCACTTTTCAACCAACCGAGTCTTGAATTCATAAAGCTGAAGCAGGACGGAGACCACCATGACTGGCACAGAGATCATTGTCCATCTAGAGTAGTGCTAGGCAACCTAAAAGAGGTGAAGATCTACCTGAACAACATGGGAGAAGTCAAAGATCACCGGGCCCAGTGTTGCCTCTTCCCACCTGCTTTAAACCTCTTATTGCCGTACTACCATGTCACAATCGAGTGCATTGCACAGCAATCATGAGTTTAAATCAGCTGGTGAGGAGGCAACATATTGCCTCCTTACCACCTGTCAAAAAACACTCAAGAACCCTTTTAGAGGAGTAGTAGTGCCTGCTGCACTTGTTAATGAGCCCTTAGTTGCACTCAGCAGCAGCACCCTTAAGGCTCGTTCACGTGTAAAGTTGGTCGGCGGTAAAACCTTGCAGATGAGTCATTGAGTCATGATTTTACCGCCCCAATCCCTACCCCTGAAGCCGCTGAGGCAGCAGCCAAAGGAATACACATGCCACAGCAAAAATTAGATCCCCTTTTGGTGAGTGATACCACTTGCCAATCATGACCCATTCAAGTAAATAGAGCCACTCTTCAAGCTTCCCGCAAATGAATGCTTCTGTAGAGTCTAAGGGATTAAATTAGGCGGTGAAAAAAGCATCACAATGCTGCCTGCTTTAACCCCTTGTTTGCTGTACTGCACAAGGTTGCAGGGCAATTGCAGAGTAGCCTTATTCACTTGAATGAGTCATGCTTGTCAGGTGCTACACCCACCAGCCATGCCAGGGCATATAACACCTGCGACATGTGTACACCCCTGGCTACTGCAGATAAAGGGGGTGTGGTTGGGGGAAGGGGTGGTAAAAATATGCCCTATGTGGTTTTACCTCCCCCCAAACCTGCACGTGTAAATGATCCCTTGCTGTTCTAAGCTCCCTACAAGGCTGCTTTCACACTGATGTGCTGCGGTTTACCTCCACCATGGGTGCAGCACAATACATCTGCGACTTTCCTGGGTTAGCTGCACTTTGCCATAGACTTCTATTATATCCTGCTGCTGTGCTGCACTCTGAAAGCGAACCAAAACTCCCGCATTCTAGAGTTTTGGTGTGCTTTCAGAAAGTGCACCAAACCCACAGGATATACTAGAAGTCTATGACTAAGCGTAGGAAACCTGCAGGTACACTGTTTCAGTGTGAAAGCAGCCCTATATTATGCCCAGTGTATTGCATCACACTGACCTAAAGATCTCTTCTTTCCGGCTGCTGACACCACTCTGGAGACCGCTAGCCGGGATAAGAGGTGGAATGCAGTTGGTATCACTCTGCATGGGACAGAAGTCAGCACTACAGGAGAGGCATTGGCTTATGTGGCTCTTGCTCCTTACTACAGCTCCAACTTTACAAGTAGTCCATCTGCATTGCACTCTGTTTGATTCTCTGGGATGGTGGTTTAGCAAGCCCAGACCATGATCTACCCACTGTACAGTATTACTGGTGTACTGCACACATCCGACCACAGGATTCCAGGCACCCGAACTGCCAGCTTGTGACCATATGGTGGCCATTCACAATATGTTCTGTTCACAAAAGAACTCCAGCCCAGGGGCGGACTGACCATTTGGAAACTCGGGCACTGCCCAAGGGGGCCCGGGGTCAGTAGGGGGCCCCATGAGATGCCTCTGGTACCTTTTTTCATAAGCTTTTTTGTGTTTGGGCAAGGACACAGGGGCCCCATGATCCCCTATTGCCCGGGGGCCCCATGAGTTGTCAGTCCGCCCCTGCTCCAGCCTGATATACTTTGAGTCCACACATTCTATATGGTAGAGTCCTGCGCAGCTCTGGTTCAAATCAGCATGGTCATCCACATGATACAGATTTCAGCTGCGTTAGGCCTGTTGCACATGGGGCCCATCTAGGTGCAGTGCATCCCTTCTCATGTCTTAGTGTGCCCTGAAAGGATAAGTGCAGCATCTGGCTCCACTGCCTAAAGCCACTCAAATTCTATGGCAAGCTGTGGCTGGACTGAACACTAACAAGCAGTACCTGCATTTAGGGCCCTATTTGTTCAAGAACTAAAGCATGGAACGAAGAAGGCCTGCGTTCATGCATCCAGTGAATGCACTATAGTGCTTGGAGGGACACACTGCACCTAGATGGCCTTTGTGCAAACGGCCCAAAACGCAGGTACAGGTCCTTATTTTCTAGCTTATATTGGAACACTTACCACTCAACAATATATATATGCAGACAAACTACGACTGGCATTCTCTCTAATCTTTAGGGAGAAATCCCTTATGTTTTAATAGACCATGCAGCAGATACAGCCATAAACTATCCTTTACTTCTAAAGACATCTTCTCAAGGCAGATTTTTTTGTGATGATTCACATGAGTTACCCAAAGTCAAAAGTAAAATGCACTCCAGGTCAGATGCGCCAGTCTTGTCACATTCATGAAGAGTTATAATCTTAAGAGAAAATTCCAGCTTACCTAAATAGATGTCTCCAAAGGAGCCACTTCCAATCTTCCTGCCCAACCTGTACTTATTTCCCACTCTGAGCTCCATCTCTTAACCTACACAGGAATAAAATGGAAAAATAAAGGTTATTGCTTTGTGCATAAATCCCAAACTTCTGAAGCAGAAATGTATACTGTAAGTGCTTTATGGACACAAAATATAAAGTTAAAAAAGGAAGCATCAATGTTCATAAAAACACCTGTACATTTAACAGTGCAAAAAAAAAAAAAAAAACACACACTGAAACTAGACACTTGTTCTCTGGCTGACAAGCAACACAGTGCAGCTTAACATGCGTCCAAGAATGCGGTAAGCACCCAGCACGCCAAAGCAGGGGAACATTCCGTCCAGGAATCTCAGAGGAAAGAAAAACTTTGCCTGACAGTTCGCGGGTGTCCTACAGTTGAACAGGAGAGGGAGGTATTTACAGAGATCTGCAACCACGTAAAAACACACGCCACTATGTACATTTTAGAAATTATCTCATTTTTGACTGCCATGATTAAATTATGAAAATAGTTAATAAAAAAGGACTACTTTTTTTTTTTTTTTTTTTTTAAACTCCACACCAGGGACAGTACTTACATTCAATGAGAACTATGCCTTTTGCTGGTTGCTGCTTTAATTGAAAACTTTAGTCCTTGTCAGAGGACTCCTATACCCCTGCAATGGTAATCTTGTGCTGTGAGGGTTAATACATCTGCTGAACCTGTCACAGGCACTTGTCAATTGTGCCGACTACGCCTGTCCTTTCCAAACTCTTCCATCCTTGGAAGCTGTACCATAGTTTCCATCAATTAAAAGGGCTCTATGAACGGAAGTGGTGGATCTTTTTTTATTCATTCGCATGTCCTCATTCATAGATCGCTTTTCATTGCTGGAAGCGGTAGTACAGCGTCTATGAATAAAGGAGGAGGGGCAGAAAGTGCAGGCAAAGTTGCCAGGTCCGGTGGCTGTATTTAATATCCCACAGCAACAGAATATTACCGCTCCCTGGGTATGGAGGGGGGGTAGAGGACTGAAGATTACAACTAAGAGCAGCCAACAAAACAAGGAGCATTCCGCAGTACTGATTTAAAAAGAAAATTTAACCTAACACAGTTTTAAACAGAAAAGGAAAATTGCAGAATGCTTTGCGTGAACCATTTTTGGTGGAAAAAAAGGCATATCTTCTGAAAACAAAAAAACGATAATCCCACCACTGGTGCCAAGGTTAGAAACCTAGGATGTCTGCGCCCTGTGTACTTGGGTAAGGCTTGTAGGTCACTGGGACCCACAGAACAGGAATGTCTGCTCCCTGAGGTTTGCATATGCATGTCATGACCCAACACTCATTATAGGGATATTCTTGCAGCAAGACCAGTAGAGCAAAAAGTATCAAGTTCTCATTGGCTTGTTGGTTAGCTTAACCTTAACATGTATCCTTACTAATCTGATATCTTAGGATCAGTTACAAAAGATACTGTCTGCATGGAGTTTGTATACCCTTGTGTTTATATCGGTTTAACTCATCTTTTCCAAAACCTGCTAGCAGGTAAACTAGCTTCCACCCAAGCTACTTTACATTAGTGTTGGTGAATTGGCATTTCCACAGTTTTGTGGAGTTAGCTAATTAAAGTGAGCTAAAACCTCTGGATATTGCACTACATTCTTTGAAATGGAGGGAATCCATAACACTTCTTCAGGTCATGTATGTAAATATTGGAAATATACACCAATCCGCCATAAATGTATGGCCATTAACAAGTTAAGCTGATTATTTCATTACAATGGCATCTAAAAGTCAGTGGGATATATTAGGCAGCCAATAAACATGTTGACCATGAAGCTGATGTGTTGAAAGCAGAAAAACAAACAAAAAAAAACAAAAACGGGCATCACAGTTTGTTATATATGGGCCTGCATAGCCGCAGACCGGTCAGGGTGCCTATGATGACCCGTGTTCACAGCTAAAAGCACCAACAATGGACACGTGAGCATCAGAACAGAACCACAGAGCAATGGAAGAAGGTGGCCTGGTCTGATGATGTTTTGTGTTAATCATGTGGATGACCGGGTGCATGTATATTGCTTACCTGGGGAAGAGATGGCACCAGGATAGAGTATGAAAAGGTGGTAAGCCAGTGGAGACAGTGTGATGTTTTGGGCAATGTTCTGCTGGAAAACTTTGGGTTTCCTATCATTCATCTGGATGTTACTTGACATGTACCACCGATCTAAATATTGTTGCTGACCAAGTATACCCCTTCATGGAAACTGTATTCATTCATGGCAGTGGCCTTTCAGCAGGATAATGCACCCTGCCACACTGCAAAAAAACAGTTTAAGAATGGTTTGAGGAACGTGTATGAGGTGTTGACTCTGCCTCCAAATTCTCCAGATCTCAATCCAATTGAGCATCTTTGTGATGTGCAGGAAAAACAAGTCCGATCCATGGAGGCCCCACCTTGCAACTTACAGGACTTAAAGGATCTGCTACTGATGGTTTGGTGCCAGATATCACAGCATACCTTCGGTGGTCTAATGGCATCCATACATAGACTGTTCAGGGCTGTTTTTGCGGGAAAAGGGGGATCTACTTAACATTAGGTGGATGGTCAAAGTTATGGCTGATTGGTGTAAGTGTATTCATAGCTTTAGATGGAGCAGAAAAGGGTCAGATCCGATATCAAACTTTTTATTTAGGCCTGTGTCCCCCACTATGTAGCATCACCCTTGATATCTGCAGTGGTGCCCATTGTTACCAATCGAAAATTTCCAATGTGGACACATTAAAAATGCCTAAAGCCCACCACTGCAGTGTAGTTAATGCATATTATGTGCATTAATGTATTGCATTACGGTATTACTTGAATGGGTTGCCAAATACATCAAAACGGATCCAAAAATCGCAAGGGCTGCATTTTTGGTAACACAGTGCTTTTCCATATGATGCAACAGGTGTGCTGGGTGCCATTCAAAAGAAATGGCACCATGGTGCACCAATACAGGTGAAGTGCATGGCCGCATCCAAATACCGTAAACAGATCCCAAGGGGCAATTTTCCTAACTTCATAGTGATTGCTTTCATTTCGTTTGGAGTCTGTTGTAATTGAGTGAAAAGAAATTTCCCCAACAGGAAAACTTTGTCTATACATACACTTTTAAGCATTCAGCTATGCAGGGCACCCAGCCAAAAAAACAGCCATTGTTTAGATAACTTGCAGGACAGGTCAAGGGGTATAATATATACACACACACACATATATCTGCTGCTCTGCTATGAAACCACAACATAGAATGTTTCCTAGAAACACGCAAACACTCTGCAGCTCAGTGAGCTAATCCAACACTGTACTGACTAGTTATCTAGGAAGGCAGATAGCTAATGAACTGTTGTTCACTAAAGAATATATTTGCACTGATTGATTGCAAGCCGTATTTTCAGTTTTCACACTGTCTGAAGTCCACTCTCTCAGAAAAAAGGCAATGAAAAGGTGGCGGTTCTTTCCTAAGGAAAACGTGGCCCCACTGTTGGGCCAAACACATTAAGAGAAGAGTTGTGTGTCTGGACCATAAATGGGGTCTTCAAATCAACTTTGCCATTGCCAAATTAAGGGTTATGGCATGTAGTCTTAGGCCTCATGCACACTGGGCCTTTAGCCCTGGCACATGAGGCTCCAGTTTAGGTGCAGGTGGAAGACACGGGTGCACTGTCCAACCCCTGCCAACAGCCTGTCAAACTCTCTGACAGCTGCCTGGGCTGGACGGTGCACGACATGGTAGTACGGTTTAGGGTGGTATGTGCCCAGAGATAAATGCCTTGAAAGTAGTCTGCTTTCACAGCATTTGTCCCTGAGCACATACTGCCCTAAATGTTAGTAATACTCGTCTAGTTCCAGCAGCTTTCAGCCCCTTAGAGTTTTACAGGCTGCCGGTAGCAGGGCTGGAGGGTGGACCTGTGCCTTCCGGCTGCAGCTAAATCCAGAGACTCAGGCACTGAGCCTAAACACCCAGTGTGCATTAGGACTTCAATGTTGTCATTTGGTAGATGACGACATGTCAGCAAAACCAATTCACACTATTAGGCCCTTTTCACACGGGCGTTTACAGGTGAAAAAAAAAAACGGACCCCCATGTATTTCTATGGACTTGCGGATGTAAATGGATGAACATCTTTTTACATCCGGTAACATGTTTTTTTTTTTTTTTTAATGGAATAAACCCCTATTTTTCTTCCGCAACAAATTCCAGAATGGACAAAAAAGACGGATGTAAACATACCAAAAATGGATGAAAAAAATGGATGTAAACGGATGAAAAAATGGAAGTAAATGGTTGAAAAAAATGGATGTAAACACGGATGTAAACTCATTTGTTTTTTCTTTGAAAAAACGTGACTGAACTGAAGAAAAAAAAAAAAAAAACAGAACGTGTGAAAGGACCCTTAGTTTGACTTGAAGTACCTCTTATTAGATATTGTCCATAATCTGATATTCAAACAGACCCCCTTTCAGGAGACTTGCAATAAATAGGAGTATCAGCAAGGCCAAGTAGCAGGCACTCACACATTTTGCTCATGACAGGTTCCCTTGAAGGCCTGTGTCAACTGACATTTGGCACACGTCAACAGCATCAGTTTGACATCTGTCTGAGATGCTTCTGAGAACCTTCAGAATTCCTTGACGAATGCAACTGACCTGCAACTGACTTCCTTTTGAGAAGCGTTGAGCAAGTTTTGCATTCCTCTTGACTTGTATGGGAATCCACAACCTGCTAAGAACAAAAGCCAATGAATACGGGCCATCGTGAACCGACAATGCTATTTAGTCCAATAACACAACTATGCTAAAGTGAGACGTGAACAGATCCTTTGAATAACTGCTGCATGCCAAGCGATCATTTGTACTGGTATAATACCCTGAAAACAACTGCTTTCAGTAAAGATTTTCCAGCAAGTTGAAAAATTATTTTTCCCAATATGTTCCATTGAATATTTGGTGGTTGTTTCTGTACTGTAAATGCTTCATCACCATTTGTGTTCACTGAATATTATTTGAACATTTGTT